TTTTTAACCTTTTCAGTACTATCGATATATCCGTCAGACAAAATTCGTTTCCACGTAAGCGTTGATCGTATGTTGTACCTTGTTTTCAAGTATTTCACACACAGAACAATCATTTTTTATACAATACTACGTTTTCTTCCGCGTATTATTACTATATGTTATATATTATCATTATTTATAATCTCAAAATTCTCTGGTATTATTATTATCAAAATCTCTACATATATTCCTAACTAAAAAAATTGTTATCTTTTAATTGAAAACTGGTTCAAATTATTCTGTACAGCATTATCAGTTTATTAATATCCATATAAATGATCTCTTCTTTAACGTTTAAATTAAATAATTATGAATGCAAGTTATGTTATTATATCTGTAACGAGTAACAAAAATGGCTCGGTTAATCGGCCAAACTTTCTACCTTATTAATTAGTACGGGAAAGGTGTCACTACGAGTAAAAAAGAATTCAAACACATATCAGAAAGTGTAGGATATTTTCGATCCATGCAAAATGCTACAGAGAATTCAGAGAAATGCTTTAAATCAACGATTCGATACACGGAACATTTGGCAACATCATGTTATTGAACTAGCTTTAGAAACGTAGACGCTCCGAAGAAAGAAATTTTCTTCATGGAAAAATTGATCATTTCTAAGCCAATGCTAGCAGTATTACTTTTGGAACTATCAAAACAAAGGGAAGAAAGTGGATGCCAATTTCAAGCAGCGAAGAAGATAACCTGAAACTTCGATATAAATAGTTTTTATTTTTATTTGTTCTTGTTTTGTTTCAAATTACATCTGTAGATTTTTTTTTTAAATAAACACATTTTGTCCTATGTTCTTCTTTCTTGTATTGTATACATATAGTGGTACTCAAACTAAGTTTTTTTCGAGCTTTTTTGTGGGAAATTATACAAGGGCAAAGTTATCTACAATTAAAAGTTGACATTGCCCAGCTGCTCCTTATTTGCTTTATTTTTGGTTCATCATTTTTTCAAGAGAAGATTTATGATATAAACATATGATATGATATGATTTACATATGATCAGTGCCCCATATATTGAAAAAGTGAATTAGAAATTTCTTGTTGAAAATTGTACGGTATTGTTTTGTTTTCATGTGTTTGCAATGAAATCGTATAACGCGTGGTATAGTTGAATTCATCTTATTACGTCCACTTTGTCTATGTTTAAGAAAGGTATAATTAGCATTTTAAAACTGTACATGATCTTGAAATGCTCTTGTGTTATCACCTATTGTATTTTTTAAATATTGAGATTTCTTAAATTCCTCTAAAGCCAATTCATTCATTTTTATTTTAAATCTAAATTAATTAAAATCGATTGCTCTTTGTATATTTGCAAGCAAGTACTCGTGACTAATTGCACGATCGTCTGATTCATAGATGTTTGTAAGTACTTAATGTGTTATATCGTGCTCGAATCAGTGCTCAGAACAAGTTATTTAAATTATAATTAGTCAAGATATGTACATTATCTGTGAATAATCACTGTTATGAAATCTTTTATGTAAATAAGAAATGCCACGCACGGTTGTAAATAGATAGAACATGTCTATTTATCCGACTATTCGTTTTAAACAAAGATAGAAATTATTACTATTCGTCTTATTTAGATTGATCAGTTTGGGACGGTACAGTTGTTTCCATCAATAGCCTATTTCATTATTATATATGTATGTTGTAAAGTGTAATTGTGAAAAATACATACAATAGTACTCGTTTTTAAGATAGAATTTTTATACTAGACTTAAGGCTCGGAGCCATGGCCACCACTGTTTATGTTTCTTCCACGTAAGATCCAACATCTTCATCGGCTTGCAACTATGCTAATAAAAGTTGATTTTTATCTCGCATGAATCAAATTACATCCTCTAATGAAATATAACATTCTTATATCCTTTATAATATCTTTCTTTTTTAGATCTAATCAAATATATCAATGATGACTCGAATTCTGACTTTTTCAGAGTTTCTTTCTAATACAAGCATCAACTAACATCATTTTCTCACAGATATTTTTAATTATTTAATTGTTAATTGCAATTTCAATTGCAATTATTGAAAACAATCGATTTTCGCAATGAAAAAAGTTAATTGTCAATTTGGCCAATTATTTGTCAAATCGATAAACTCCACAAAAGGAAAAGTAAAGAAATTAACAAAATAATATATATACTTTTTTAAGGTCCCCTTTAAAATTTAAATTTCTTTTCGTCAACTTATAGTGTTAAGCATAATTATTAAGGAAATTTATTTCAAATATAAAAATTTATGCATCAATCAAGTTTGTAACACTAAAATTTTGAGAAGTTCAAAAAGTAGAGTTAATCGCTTTGGCTTGTAAATAGCTATATTGTACTAGCTGTGTCGGCGGAAGCGTTTCAGATGTGAGTGTAAATTGGCAGAATTCAAGTCACAAATGATCTGGCAAGTCCAACTTGGGAAAAATTATTGTAGAGTTATTACAATAATTTATATTTTGGAATAATAATTAGGTAATATCCATGCCATTCCTTACCTAATAAATGATGTCACATTTACAAATAAGATACCGTTACTCCCACTTGTATTCATGCACTACGCAAACATTTAATTTAAATGAAAAAAACCTGTTTCTTAATAATACTTTCTATTTATTATTATCAAATATTGTTTATTACACCACTTTTGTGTACAAAAAAGTTTTGATTTCGTTTATTTAAAAATCCGAAAAACAAAAAATGTAATTACCCATAAAAACTCTTACTTGTATTCGTTCGTGAAAGAATACACATATTTTCATTTAAAAGTAAGTTATTTTAATATTTTGTTTGTAAACTTCGTGTCTAATTATATCAAGCAATCTATTTGGCATTGATTGAACTAATTTATTGGTTATTTCATGTTTCTCCAATCTGATTTTTAGTTTTGTATTTTTAATTGGGTTTATATCTGGACTCTGTGGGGGTGTTTCTAGAATCATATGTCGTTTACAGCCTTATTCAAAAGTTATGAGACGAATATGAGATACGAATGAAATAATAATACTATGAAATAGTCATACTAAATGTAAATACTAACATTGAGTCTATCTCTGTCTAATCTATATTTACTCTTAAGACCGTCAAACATTATGAGAGTAATTTTTACCAATCTATACTATTAGATAAGTTGGGCTTCAAAATGCTTCAGTTATAAGCGTGAGATACGTCGTTAATCATGAATAATTGGACTTAATAACATTTTTGATAATATCAGATAGCAAATATTTACTAGCTTAGATGAAGATAGCTTAGATATTTTCATATTGCATCGCAGTATTACTATTCTGTTGCTATTTCATATTTGTTTCATAATTTAAGAATAAAGTTTTAAACGCCATATATTTATACATAGGTTTACATTTATGGTTGTTCGGCCATACCTGGGAAAAATTTTAATGGGAGATTCTAGAGGCCAAAATAAGACGAAAATCAAGAATATCAATTTCTTGACTAAGGCTTCGTTAAAAAGTTACTGAAACATTAAATTAAAAAATTAAATTAAAATTTCCATATCATTCTGAAAAAATTATTTTTGGTTGCGGGTGTCAATTACAATCATTTTTGGTGAATACACATACCCCCGAAATCCTACTCAGTTGCGAGAAAAAAATTCGTTACCTAAAATATAATGTCTGATCATGGATGAATGATTCCACTGAAATTACATGAGTTTCAAATCGTTTTGAAAAAATTATTTTCGGTTGCGGGTGTCAATTACAATTATTTTTGGTGTATACACACACTCCCGAATTTCTACCCAGTTACGAGAAAAAAAATTCGTTACCGAAAATATAATGTCTGATCATGAATGAATGATTCCACTGAAATTTCATGTGTTTCAAATCGTTTTGAAAAAATTATTTTCGGTTGCGGGTGTCAATTACAATTATTTTTGGTGTATACACACACTCCCGAATTTCTACCCAGTTACGAGAAAAAAATTCGTTACCTAAAATATAATGTCTGATCATGGATGAATGATTCCACTGAAATTACATGAGTTTCAAATCGTTTTGAAAAAATTATTTTCGGTTGCGGGTGTCAATTATAATCATTTTTGGTCAATAGACATACTCCCGAAATCTTACCCACTTTTGAGAAAAAAATTCAGTACGGACGGAACTTTAAACGTTAATATCTTTTTAACGAAGCCTCCATTAACAAATTGGTACTCTTGATTTTCGTCCTATTATGACCTCTAGAATCTCCCATTACATTTTTCCCCGGGGTGACCGAACACTCTGTATAACATTTTTATTCTTATTTAGTCCTATTGTATACTATACAACTGCAGTCCTATATGCTGATAAAGATCATTAGCTTTGATAAAATATGAAATTATTGGAAAATTGCGAGCGATTTGCAAAGACGTGTAAATTTTCTTTCAAAATATTTACGCATTTGCTTTATCCGTGATTCCATCAATGATTACTAAATTATTTATTTCATCTGCAGAAAAACACCATTGTATGTTTGTGCCCGCCGTTGTATTTTACTGTAGGCTAAAGAATTGATACTTTCAATGTTAAACAAGTATTCTAATTTTGTTATTTTTCATATTTAAGTATTATTACATGCATGCAATGTAATTTATATTTTGGAATAATAATTTTATATCTGATTTCATTTTCATTACAATGGTTTAAAAACACTAATTTCTACAAGAACTTGATTTGTCGTACGAATACGAGCGAGAGGTAATTCTATTTTTTTGTATTTTCCAGTTTTTTAAATAAACGACGAAAGAAACTGCTTCGCAAATAGAATTAGCCTTGCGTGATGAACGATATTTGATACAAATAAATGGAAAATATTAATAAAAAATATGTTTTTTCCATTCATATTGAACGTTCGCGTAGCGTACAAAATACGAATGGAATAACTGTATTCGTTTCAGGGTAAATTCTTTTCAGAAATCGAACTTACGCTAAACTAGTGACGTTTTTGTAGATTTTCACAAAAGCCATCCTTACGTGGTCACGGGTAGCGTCGATCAAACGGTGAAGATCTGGGAGTGCCGCTAGTCACCAAAACGTCAGGGTCTCGTTAAACCTTCGTCAAAGAAGACAGATTGTGGAAAGAAGGCGTACGATGCACGTCGAATTCGATGGAAACGGCCGAAAGAGTAAGCTGCTACAAAAGAAAAAAAATTATCGTACTATTATTAATATTAACATTATTATACACACATAAACACCTACGGTTAAGAGCTCTTTAATTTATAATAAAGTATACTTAGCGATTATTAATATTATATGTACCTTCTTCGGTAACGAGCTGCATGACTCGAGGAGAGTCGGCCAATATTAGCTTTCTTTCGCGAGGAGGACATTGCCATAAATTATCATCGATGGTTAACAGCCTCTCGAGTATTCAGATAAATTTGATCGACGAAACTTAATCCTTCAAAGAAGACAATTTACTCGTAGAATGTTCCTTGGTGAAACATTTCTTCTGAATTGTTTGAACGCGTCGTTCTCCTCTGACCGTCGACGATGTTAAAGGATGTCGGCTAATGTCACCGCTCAAACATCGCGATCACTCGTTCTCGTTTATTACGCCGATCTCTCCTCGAGCGTTCTTGACGATGTGAAATCGGGAAATCGCACCCGATACATATATAATACAAACACTCGCGCGCGCGCGCGCGAAAAAAAAAAAAGATACACTCGAGAGAGAAATGCGTGGAGACATCATTTAACTGTGTATTGAACGTCAATAATTTATCTAACGCTGGTTGAGTACGTAGCAATTGGTTCTCGTGCGAACTAAGATATACACGATGTAATAAATCGAACGAGCATGTCAAACGGACGAACGCATTAGCACTTCGAAGTCAAAAAAAGCAGCGCTGACAGTGGCAATCGGGCAGCGTCCGTTTGAAATGTTCGATATTACACGTTGCGTTTGTAACCTTGTACGCGCGTACTACTTAATGTCGCGACGAGAATGTAGAAATTGTTGTTTTAAGGTCGGGGAAATATGTGGCGTGATCGGCAGAATCGACGAAATGCGATACAGTATGCAATACGACGGTGCACGGCACCCAATCAGCTTGTGCATTATTTACGATAAATACGAGAACGTAGGGGATGGTCGAGTGGAGTGTTCAAACTTATGACAACGCGAAATGCAAGCGTGTACCAGTATGGAAGTATTTCAGGCATTTAAGTTGTAGCGTGGGTCCCGAGATACGAGAGGTACTAGTTTTATAGTTAGCTCTAAACTACTATTAGAGGTAGCGCAGACGTAATAGTAGACAAAAGCAGAAGGGAATAGAATCAGGCCACGAGTGGAACGATCGACCGGTACACACACTTTATGCGGACACTCGTCAAGACCTCATGTAACAATGCTTAATCGATTAAGACCGATTTTTGAAATTGTACACACTATTCCCCAGCTACAACATCTTTCCTACCATTTTCCTCCCGTTATTTAGGCGAACGACTTCCTTACTTGCTCTCTCCATCCTTCGAGAGAGTCATTTGATTCTATGTGGTAACTAAATTATTTTGATGAACAATAAAAACGAAGTTCTTATTGAGCCGTGTAACGTCGTTCTATTGTACTACCGGTGTGTTTCACCGTCGTTCGTGCGTCGTTGTTTGCCACTTTTCGATCCATTGATAATAAAATCTTGTAGCAACCACGATATTTGAGGTTCTGTTCTTTTGGGAATTCCCTATATATGTACAGTGGCTACGAAAGGCACTCGCAAATCCAGTTTTTTGCAATAATTGTTTTTAAAGAAAAACAAAAGTAATAATGAAACAAGTTTTATTCGATTCTGACAATATACTATGAACAGAACTTTAACAAATCATACAAATAAAATAACACGATAAAACGTAATTCAACAGTAAAAAAAATATTGGCGCGGTAGAAATTTTGAAGAAAAACGGTCAATTTTAGACAAACAAACAGCTTTAATATTTAGCATGCGTTCCATTTGCATCAATTATTGCCTGCAGTCTTCTTGGCATTAATTCTGTAATCTCTTACGTAGTTTCTCTTGAAATTTATAGTCATTCTTCTATATACCATGCATTCTCAAACTTAAGACGCTTTCTCTGCCTTGAGATCCGAAAATATGTTGTGATATCAATGGCTAAATTCTGAGCACAAGGATTCTTCGTTATTGTTTTATAATTTGCCGCTGTGCTCATAGAACTTCTTGACGACTTGACTTTTTTAATAACATATCGGACTGTTGAAACATTTCAGTTCAAAGTTTCATCAATTTTACGATAACTTTCATGTTCAAATCGCAACAAAACAATTCCATTTCGTATATTCACTTTACTTAGTAGACACGATTGCTGTATTACATACAATCACAAACTGTGTCCTAAAATTGTTGAAATATATTACTGTAGACCTATTGTTCACATTTACTTTTAGTTTCCAAATTTAAGTTTTGGTTATATTATTTTACTTTCATGATTCCTAAAATTATTTTTTCATATCATATTGTTGAATAAAGTACGTTGAAACATTTTTCCTTTAAAAAAAGTTATCGCAAAAAACTGGGTGTGCGAATATTTTTTGTACCCACTGTATATATTTATATTTATATAAAACGAGCATATATGTATATGTATATATAGGGGCGTAATTGTGAAAATTCTGCGGAAAACAGATCGATGTATTCTTTTATTCGAGGAAATTTGATCGTTTCGTGTCTACTTTGTTCTTTTCTTTCTCCCAATACGGATAGAATTGTAGCACTCTTGTACAAAACGGTTCTTTGGAATCTTGAGCGTGACAGGATCGCGCACCTGCGGGTCCGATTTTTTGGCGGTGTCCGGGACTCGCTTGAAACAACAGAAAAGATTTTCGAAGCGATCGGTGTATACCCATGGTTACGCTTGCGAGAGACGGACCACACTCGCGGCTTGTTCATCGAGCAATGCATTCGATTTAAGTCACGAACTCCGCAGTACATGCATGACAGTATTTTACATTTATAATAGAGAGGAAAAAGCTAACACATACACGTACACACTTATATATTTATAATATATAATATATATTATACATATACACGTATGCATGTATGTACGCGTGTATATATGTATATTTACACACCCGTATATGTTTATACGCGTACGTACGTGTATGCATACACATAAATATACAAATACATTATTGTAATTAAGCAACGGAATCGAACAGACGCGTACCGAACACGGTCCAATGTTTGATGTTTATACGTAGGATGACGTAATAAAAGTAATGTCGTAGCTGCTTTTCGTAAATTCCGTCGCACTTGCTTTAGTGACTTTTTCGCTTTTTCTACCCGCCCTACGAGAAACGATACCGACACGTCAAGTAGAGTAATAATAAAGTGTTGTCACCATTTGTGATATATACGCATACATCGACGAGCTTTCATTGAAATCCTTGCTGTGGGTCGAACGAAACTGGCGAATTCGTGCTGAAATGTGGGATAAAGGAGGGATATATATATAATATATATATTTAATGAGCCATGACTGCAATGTAAGTAGCGTTTTTGCGTAAACGTGTGGCTCGCAGGGACAGTGACTTTGACATTTTCAATTACCTTTTTTGAAGAATCTGGAACGAAAATAAAGGCATATGTGTCCATATTTACACGGATTGTTAACGTTGAAAATTTCATCCTTTCATCGATGCTAAGTGCTAAGTATTCTGTGTGTACCACTCGCTTGTGGTAATAATCGGTACGATTTCACGTACACTGGCTTTGATAAAGCTGGTTCTGCTACCACAAATGTGCAAGCTGATGCTTTTTGGAGCCAATATACGTTCGCCGAAAGGCATTAAGTGGGTACTTTGGTCTAGAGGTTATAGAAAAAGGAAAGATAAGTTACGTTTTATGTATCGTTATCATTAATCCTTTAAGTACGACGTTCATATTATGTACCAATCCATAAACCTTCGTTAATTGTCGACACTCACTCGTATCTCCTAAAGACGCGTAATAGATGTATATGTATACATATTTTTTGAACATACTTTCTATGACGTAACTTCTTTAAAAATCACTAATATTTAAATAACAAGCTTAATTGTATCGCTTCAGATGGAAAGTTGCACCGTACCCGAGGGGTTAAATTGTACGGAGGAGTTAAACCCGTTTTTCTCGATATAACTTGTACTTATCTGACTAACTCGAAACTTTGCACACATATACAATACACCTTCTCTATCGTGTGGATTAGAATTAATTTTATACGTTTGTTATTGCATAATAAATGTATAAATATATATATTGAAAGCCAAATTATTTCCTTCGGTGAGGCGGTAATTCCGTAATTTTGATTATTAAACAAAAATTCTAGTTGCGATTGAATCGTGAAGACCATCAAATTTTGTTTATATTCTTCGCAATGCACAATTGCTAACGCTCGAAGAAATGTATACGAGTACTTAAAGTACACACAAATATGTGCGCAAAATTTGAAATCGTTAGGTCTATTACTTTTTTTTTCCACGTTAATGCTTCTAGACCAGACCACCCCTTGAACTCGTTCGCAACGATGATGAAATGAACACCTGGTACATAGTTGAGTAACGTGACGATTGTAAAAATAACTGCTCGATCGAGCTTTGCAAGAAATAAAAATAAAAACACAGCCTATTGCATTTGTGTATCTGTGAGAATAATCGATAAGACTTTCATTGGTACGTCGTCGTACGACGTTTTTTGCAGAATGAAACCAGATTTGGGCAAATTTTAATCCCGAATAACGAATAAAAATGTTAGATTAATTCATAAATTAGCTTTTGAATGCGTCTTCGCTCGCCTACATGTCGATTTAAGAAATCCGTTAATGAATTTTAATTTACGAATGAAACGTAAACAGAAGTTAGTTTGTGAACGAACATAAAATTTCTATTCGTTAGTCACGAATAAAATTTGCCTAACTATGAATGAAACTATTAAGATGATAATTTGATAATATTGGTACGTCGCACAGTGTGTCACGTATGTGGAAATAAGGAACAAAAATCATAACTTCTAAACTAATCAGTTTTCAACATCAGACCCCTAATACTTTATTAAGGGAATAGTAAAATGCATTGATTAACGCATAAAAAGTAAATCTTTCTTTAAGAAGTTGAAGTGGACTTTAGTTTTTTCTTAGTATCAAATTTTTACTATAGCAATTTTGCGTTAACAGATTATTAACTAACTTTTGTTTCAAAAGATTGTTTATTCGTGTAACAGAAATATTTTAACGATCATTTTGAGTATAAGATTGTGCGAGACAAAATTCATAACTTTGAACCTATGTAATATTTTTTTATTGTTTGGTGCAATTAAAATATAAAATATATAAAAAACTATATATAATTTACACATCAAATCGGAATTAATGCCGTGTAGTTGGGCCGTGAACGTGTTAGTAATAATTTGTATTTTATTTTCTTTGTTGCGAGTAAATTTGGGCAGCTAAAATTGATGTTAAATTAAAGTTTATGCCTTAAATTAATATATAGAAAATCACGCAGGTAATTTTTATTTAAATTCAATTTAAAATTTATGCACTTAAAATTACAGTAAATTTCAGGTATCATTTTTTACAATAAATTTGGAAATTCAATAAAAATGACGAATATCATTAAAATGTACATTTATTGCTGTTTTAAGACGTTAGAATTTATGAAACATAGACTTCAGTTTTTTTTTTTTTACTTTTGATCATTGCTGAACACACTGTGCGTTGTTCTCGAAAATGACTCGTCAAACTGTGCAATATCAATGCGTCGTCCGTTGCGAATAAATTAATTTCTGTTGTTGAAGGAAACATGATATGAGAAATTTTCGAGCGCCAGACGAAGATGGGTAACATTTGATGTGAATAATAATTTTATTCGTGACGTTTATTCCATCGAACGGCTTTGCACATGCTCATGATGGAATGCTTTAGTTTAGAATTGAAATGTTTATTTTTGTTGAACGAATAACGAATAAATTATCTTTTATTCATTATTCGAAATTTTATTTCTAGATATAATAAAGTTTGTCCATCTCGCAAAAGCGCCATCTGGCATCTTAACTGTGTGACAATTGGAAGCTTAGTAAGAAAGAAAAATAGATGCGTTCAGCATATCGTAATCCCTTCAAGCGACAGAAATTAATGCCTCTCGGTGCATCTGTGAACGTTATGGTAAATTACAACAATCGATGTACTGTGTTTTGTGTGCAAAAGTTGTATAGAAGTTATTGACCGTTTTGCTGGAATCGTTGACAAGATGGCTGAACGTCACACATGGATTCGAATCAGATATGTATTTGTATTTGCTGGTTTTTGTTTGGTTTCTAAGTTAGTTACATTTATTTATTTGCTGCCTTATCATGTAACCTGAATATTTATAAAATATGAAAACCGAGCAAATATTGAAAGAAAAGCGAAATACTAGCGAAGTATGCGTTCGAATCTATATTGTGACGTATTGTTTTCCTATTACAATTTTTCAGTGGTTCTTGACCTTTTTACCCCACGAATCCCATTTGGTAGTCTAATGGAACATTCTATGCAATGTTCCTCAGAATAACGTTCTAAAAATATTAATTGAATCAATGTTTTTCTACCAACATTGAAAATCCTGATTCATTTCTATATAACGCAACAGACAGAATGAAAACTTGCACAGATCGCCTTACAAGACGACTAAAATAAGCTAACGAGGGACGTCAGAATCTTCAGACATTTTTTTAATTTCAATTCTTGCAAATTTTTGGATAGAATTTATATTAGATAGGAAAGGATCGTGGATTCACATTCAATTTTGATGAAGTCATTTAGATACAAATGCTTACAAAATTTGTTTCTTAAAAAAAATATTGATAGAGAATTTTGGGTTTCGATTCCACCATAAGTAAGTACTTCTATCAGTATTTGAAAGTTTCCACAGACGTCACTTTTGTGCTTTCCTTCTATGTTAGAAGCTTAGCTAAGAAAGTTTGTAATTTCTATGTGCAAGACAGTGATAAGATCAGGATATTGAATCAAAGGATTTATGTTAGTCTACTAACTATCGTAATGTTAAAACAAATTGAAAAGATAAAGTTCATATTTTTAGGCACAATGTATGCAATAAAAAATAAATATTTAAAATTTATATGCTCAAGTTCGTGGACTACAGGTTAAGAATCACTAGTTTAGGTAAATAGATGCACTGCATCTACTTACTTCAAACAATGAAGAACGCATTTAGTTCATTAAGCTTTTCACATTGTTTGTACATTTTCGTGAATGTGCATTGACACGAATGCATAGATAGCGCATTTATTTTGGTTCTAGATTCGACGAAAGAATACGAAAATGAATAATTTTATCGATCCGTACTTATCAATTTTGAATTCAATTTATTTTGTATCATTTTTGAATACCTTTCTTTCTCAAAGATTTTCCAGTCTTGAAGTATGAAAACGGTCGAACATATTCCTTACAGTCGGTAATATTGTAGAGTGAGAATTAAAACATGACCGTTTGCGTCTTTAAAATTTTTAATACTTTGGTACTAAAGACGAATGTAATGGTTTCCGGATATATTTTTCTGAATTAATGATCAGTAAAGTTTATAAACTATTCCTGCAATTGAGATATTATCATTAGCATTTGCTATGTAATAAAAGTGCCAACAAACATTGTAATTGAATAATGATGTAATTTACCGTGCCATTGTTATTCAGCACAAATTAAGGCTTTTCATAGTGATCAGGTTAATTGTTTAGTATTGTATACGCGAAAAAAAAATTACAATGGAATAATATTACAAAAATTTATAAATATCAAATTTAGTTACAGCATGTTTTAAAACTCAAACTTCATTTGGTTGTGGAATCCCATTTTTGATAGTTAGATATGTGACCTGTATACTTATTTTAAACAAACTTTGATGTAATATTGCCTGTCCAACGTTTTTCTCGTCAAGATCGGAATAAATCGTCTTATTTATTTTGTATTTAATATACAAAACACTCAGTGAAGCGGAGCTGTATTTCATACAATAGTAAGTATTTATTTTACCTTTTATAAAGCTTAGCAATTACTAATTCCTGAATTTCTCTGTGCATATTTTTGTTTTGGAAATACTGAATTTTTATTTTGTTTTAGAGGGCACTTGCTGCAGTCAGTACAGAATTAATTATTCTCTTAGGTTTAGCACAAGATAATTTCCGTTTAATTGTTAGGTTTTGCTTGACAAGCAGAAATAGAAAATTAGCAAGCGCATGTAATTTTTTAAAGTAGAGAGGCAATTAATTTGATAGAATGAACTATCGTAATTTACAGTGAGTTTCAGAGGATAATCGACTTTTTGTAGTGTTATTGATTACAGTAAGTGGAAAACACGCTTGAGAAATGTAGCTTTTTTTCATTGCAATGAACGAATATATTTTTACCTCGAATAGAATTTAATTTATTTTTGAGTAAATATAATATCTTATTTATGAAAATGTCCCAGACAATATCACAGACGAGATATACCTGGCCTGTGACAATATCACAGACGAGGTATACGAGTAAACCTTTCACCTAATGTATTTTTTCGGCCCATTTTTCTGGGACTCTAGGGCCCCATTACCATTTCCGTGTCACTCGCAACGTTACCAACAGATTTAGAAATGAACACAAGAGGAAGTGAGACAGAAAATGAAATTACAGAAATTTTATTATTTTTTAACGGATTGAAAACTGCACGGTCCATAATTGGACATTAATCGATTAAGATTATTTAAAGATTTAAAGATTATTAAAATACGTAAGGATGTACCCCATTGACAACTACACTGAAAATTCTCTATTTTTTATTTTAAATTGTAATACGTCATTTATTTAAACAATAACTCGGTATGCCAGTCAGAGTGGGTCATCAATCTCCATAAGGTGAAAGGTCTATTCGTACATAGGCCGGGCCATGATATAGCGAGGTCGTAAACTAAACTTTTGAGGGTTGGGACAACTGCACTATCTTTTTTCATTTCCTACATGTATATATTATAAGCAGGTAAATTAAGATATTAAAGACTTGAGTAAGACCTTTATCCGTTACAGTGCCTCTAAAAATGGCGACACTAGATAAAACATTTCTTCGTACGGCCCTGACTATGGTCTAAGGCCCTTAGCTGTTCGTATTTCTGTCAATTCACTTGTTTCGGGAGCTAAAACGTGTAAACTTTGACACCTACTCGAGTTTATGACCTCGCTATATCGTTGCCCGGACTATACCTTGTTACGAGCCAGGGCCGTGCAGCGCGCGTGGCCTGTGAGTGCGACAGAGAGTATGGAATATGGTATCAATTTGTTAGTTAGGTGTACGGACGAACCCGATGCGAAATCGGGGAGTCGCTAGGATAGTTGACAGCCAGGACGAACCTGATGCGAAATCAAGGAGCCTCTAGGATGTAGTCACGTACGGACGAACCTGGTGCGAAACCAGGGAGCCGGAGGAGGGTGAAACGTCGTGAACGAACCCGATGCGAAATCGGGGAGTTAGTAGGATTGTTGATAACGACGGAGACGAATTTAATGCGAAATCGGGGAGCTGCTAGGAGGTTGGAACAACCGCAAACGAACTCGATGTGTAATCGAGGAGCTACTAGGTTGTAAGAATTCGTATTTGGATTCAGAATATGTTAATTGACCTCGTAACTTTCAATTATTAAATATAATATAATTCTAGCGGTAAAGTTATATTATTGTGGGAACGTTTAACTAATAATGATCGCTTTATGCAGTGATGGGTTAAAGAAGTTGGGTAACTCTGATTTAATAATAAAATTCAATATATTCTCAAATCAACGAGTAATTTACAAATGTTCAGTGTAAGTTGTGTCGCGTTCAAAGAATAGTTATAATTACCTAAATACTTCTTGCACGGTGTTGACACACCGGTGATGCGGGGGTAAGTCGGTTGAAAATAAAAACTGTAATGGAATTTATACCGGTTCACGGATTCTATGTATATGGTTTAATATTGATACGAAAGGATAGTGTAGCCCGATCTTACGAGATGCAACTGACTATCAAAACCGTAGACGTGTAACGAGAGACGTGACGTTGACTCTAAACGTGACAGTACGATTATGATCCCCAGAGTAATGAAATCACGGGGTTTATCGATATTTTCGAAGAAACGTAGCCTTTCTTTTGGTTTTTGACGCCATTCGACGCGACCTTTTTAGTTTCCTCCTGGATGAATGTGTCGGCTCTCTTAACAGCGCTTATGTGAATGGCCAGACTCGATCGTGAGACGGGCTGAAGATTATGAAAAATTATCTAATCAGTAACCAAGAATAAAATTCACGAATTTCGTTAAAATAAAACGTTGACAAAATTTTAATTTTTAAGAGATAAACGGAACCAAAAGGAATGGCGCACAATTTTCTATTAAATACTTTCTTTTCTTCTGCTATGAATTTACTTACCTTTTCATCGACTTTCATTCTTTTCTGATTCATTAACAACGGTTCGTCGGTACCAGATAAACTATTACTCAATGTGTTCGAAGATGCCAAAAAGTCCAGCGATTTGAATCCAAAATTGTCGCCAGAACGTAAAAATGAATCTTCAAAGTACACTATGAGAAAAGTTTCGAGACCAGATTCACGACCTTGTCAGATTTCCATTGCTTTGGTCGAGGTTTCTTTCTAAGTCTATGGGAGATTTTTAAGAACAAACGTCGATGTTTGTCGCAGGTGACTTCATCGAAGAATGATCCGCTATTCGCAGATTTACACCCACCATTATTTCGAGCACGTTTTGTATGGTGTTTACTAATTGTTCGTTGGATAATTAGTTCGTTGGATAACGGGTTATCCTGTTCACCTTCTCCCTGCAACAATGTTCAATCTTCATTTCTTTTGAAAAATCAGTTAATCGTTTTAATCGTCCAAATTTCAGTTACAGTTTCTCCGAATTTCACGATATTAACCGTAGGAAAAATGTTACGCGAAAGTACACCGTTTGAAATATCTCTGGTTTCGTTATTATTGTACTACAATTTTTGTATTTAATGTACACTTTACGTTTAAGGATGCAGGCCTCTTCTAGCGACTAATCAACTCCGTAAATTCTTTTGCAAATTTCAAGGCGCTCATTTTAATAAAAATTGCTGCTCTTTCACAAGAATCCATAACTGAACTGACTTCGAATATGAGATCGACCAGTAACATCGGAACGTCCTTACTATTTATGATGTTTACATCAGTCGCGTAAATGCTATCATAAGTCCTCCGGGCATAACACCTTTTGTTGTGAGATTTATTTCGGAAATTATTCAAATTTTACAGAGAAAACTAAGTTTATTCGTGTTTTCAAAACGTCTAACTTCATTTCTGTTAATTGATAGAGCTCTTTTAATACAAATTGTTATTTATCTTCTGTTTGTTTATTAGTGTAAAGAGAAAGAATGCTAATAATCGTATCTGTAAAGCAGAATGTAATCATTTTCCACAAAATTGACTAAGTATTAATAGTATGATAAGAATTTAAATTATTAAAAGGTGCAAGAAGTTTATTTATTTTTTCTTCACGGTGTAACTATTTATACGCAGTATTAAATTTTGTTGTCGTATCGTTGGGTATACTTAGTATTAATTTTTATCACCGAGGGCGTTCAAATCTTGTTCTATACCTAATCGATAACATTGGTTGTGACATCACACAATATAAAGTATTATTTGTTATTGGCACTTGTAAAAGTAGAAAGCTATCGTACCGTTCGTCGGTAACAAAGAACACCAACACTAGATAACATTTTAATAATGTATACAAAACAAGAAATAAAATTAAAAATTCACGAAGACATTTATAAATGATCATTTTATTGATATTCGTAACAACAATAACATAATATCGTCGTATTACCGATTTATAACGTTTTCAGCTTTTCGTGTTTTTCGTTGTCGACAGATGATAAAGAAGTTGGATTTCATTAATTATATTTTTCAATGTTATTATTTTTATCGACACTTCTTTGTTCAGATTATTATTGATGAAATTTGTACCTAATACGAGTACAATTTTTCTTACGCATTACTGTTCTTGCATCTCGATAGTTTCAAACGTTGACCAGGAAACAATAGAAAAATTACATTGGATTCCGTTTACTTCGAACTTTTCTTCATGCACTATAATTACAATGTTTGTTGTTGATTTGTTTACTTAATTCGAAGTCTTAATATTTCGATAATTACATTGAGAAATAAGGAGGGATCAATAGAATAACCGTTATGCAATTTTCAATACAGTTCTTTTAATTTAGAAATTCTTGAAAGGAGACACTGATATGAATAATATAATCATATACGTATATACAATAAAGAGAATTTTCCATTTGTATCGTGTTTAAATTGTATTATTGCGTGTCTAAAGTTATCGAGGAATTATAATCTGTAGATTGTTTACCAGATTTCCTACCAAAGGAGAATTGATCAGTACACCGGTATGTCGTAAACGTGCGAGACATCGAGTGTTCCGTTAATTTACACGCTTTTCGTGCTTTTCGTTCGCATGATAAACGATTTAAAAGAAGAAGGAAACAATTTTTAACAATTAAAGATCAACCAACGATTTCGATAAATCATTTAATATATAAATTAATGAATAAATAAGAATCGTAATAAATTTTCTCATTCTCGTGCGTGGTCGTGCAAAATGTACGTTAGAAAAATTTGAATCCTAGTGGTCGCCACCTTCGCGATAAGAACCTACGTACGCTCGATGCCTCCGAAGATGCGATTTCTACAAAAATTGCCGCAAAGGAATCGTCGGTGATCTTCCCGTTTGTTTAAAAATCCAAAATAAAATCTCTCGTGTAGTCTTCAATACTTTGTATACCTTATTTATTTTTCTTCTTCATCTTCGTATAATAATCATAAACGTACAATTTAAAACAATAGTGCTCGTGTGAGTGTGTATGTATGTATGTGTATGCAATGTACAGGATAATCTTTAAGCTATAATACAGTTTGAAATGAAACACAAATTAATAAACTATTACGTTAGGTAGACCTTCTCGTTTTTTTTTAATACAATTATTTTTACTACTGAATGACAATGTCCTTTCTCAGCGTATAATACCTTGCTTCTCTCGTCTCCCGTTTTACTTTTCCCCCGAAAAATTTTGATCATTTTACGCGGCACGTACGCGCGTATACAAGAGCATCGATAACTTTTCTTTTCCTGAATATCTATCTACAGTTATCTTTACGTTTTCGTTATTTATTATTATTTTTTTTTTTTTTATTTTGTATCGTCGGTTCTGTAAAATATTCATTATTATGTTTACGATATGATTTTTCCTCCTTCCGGTGGTCCTTGTCTGAACCCCGCTCGTGTGTCCGCACGAACTTTTTCCCTATATTACAAACTCCCTACCCGAAGAACCGGGTACTCGCCTAGAAAGCCGTTTCCGCTTAAATAATTAAAGCTATCTGCTATCTAGAGTCTATTCGGTATCTACAGAAGAACCTATATGCCTCGCAACTCGCTCGAGAAACAAGAGAAAAAAAATTGTGAAAAGAGAAGGGGACGAGTGGTTGAAGATTTTTTGGGTTTCGGAGTGTGGCCGGGAAGGGGAACGAATGGGATGGACGAATGGGTGGGCGGTGGGGGAGAGGGGGTGAAAAAACAAAGAAACCGCGATGCCGATCGTCCCTAAATGGATCGGGTTACATACAGTTTACACAGCTGCGCGATCAGCGACGATCGGTCAGCAATTGTTCGCGTCGTAACCCAACGAGATTGACAATCGGACGGTCTCATCAGGCTGGTTTGCAGTCGTGTGTTCGGCGACTAATGCTCGACTTGAGATCCATTTTTGTTCCCTGGTTGCCTCTTCGCTCTTTCGGGTCCACCGAGTTCTCTGACGTTATGCTGTTCCCAGTTGCTGGTTCGCGTTCGATTGTCAGGCAGCTTCGCGCGACTGGTCGATGTCATTAAGTTACGAGCAACGATAAACAGCGTAGACGGCAATAATAATAACGACGATAATAATAATAATAATAATTAGAATAATAATTAGAATAATAATAATAATAATAATAAATGATTAAGGATAACGAGGGTGACGTTAATCGATATCGATAATCAGTGGTGAGGATGATAAATAATAGCGTCGTGTACCGTTCGTACTTCAGTCCCCCGAAGGTTCTAGGTTCGTGTGAAAAAACCGTAAATTGAAGAAAGAAAAATGTCGGATCACTGGTCTCTCAATTAGCAATGCCCTTTTTTTGTTCAAGTGTTTCTCTCACTGGGGTTGGCTGTCTCGCTCGCACGTCATATTTTTTCCCTTTCACTCATTCCGTTTTCACTCATATCTCTCTTTTTCTCTCTCTCTCTAGCCATTGTTCGTTTTAACTGCGGACTAGAATTTAATCGAAGATTAAAATTTAATCTGGTAAATACAAGTTTGATTCGTAATATCGAGGATAATTGCCCCTTTCTCTCTCGCACAAGCACGCACGCACGCTCTCGCTTTCTTTTCATTCTCAGGCTTCGAGATAGTATACGGTAATCGTAATTATATGTTCTCCTGTCGCGCTCTACGCTTAACGCGGACCCGACGCCGCGTTTCCACGTGGCTGCGGAAGAACGGACACCATTTTCCATTTGTTTCGTTTTTCTTTTCGTTCGACGCCCCGCGGTCGATTACGTCTTCGTCGGAAACGCGGCGTCGGTGTCCGTCGCGTACGGCGCTCGGGTCGCCATTACTTCCGCGTGAATATATCGCTATTAAAGAGTTAAGTGTGGTAATTAAGTATAATATACAAGATTTGTGTATGTGTAATGTTCTCGTATGTTCCGAGTCTCTTTTTTGTACAGTTATTTACATCGTTGATGCGAGCTTACGGTGCCACGCTTTAACACCCGGTATAAAGATGCCGGCGCATCTTCGTCGCACAGAAAGAGGCCGCCCTCCAGCCCCCACGTACGTCGCGTTTTTTTTTAATTTTATCATCGCATATAAGCTCTATCACATTGGCTTCACAAGCCGTATCGTTATCGCGATAAGAATTCGAATGGTAATAAAATAATACAATATAATCAATAATAATAATAATAATAAAATAGCAATGATAACGTAAGCCTAATAATACAGTAATATTGGTAGTAACTGATAACCTCGATCACCGATCGCTTCGTATAACTAGCTTTCTCTATGCGGGAATAGAAAAAAAAAAAAAAACAAAGACTACTCAGAAGTGGACAGATCAGGGCTTGACAATTGTTATAATATAGGTTTAGGTTCTTAAAACAGATACGAAGAATTTTTACTCCAAACGATCGTTACAAAGAACCTAAATTTCGGACTGTATCGGTTCCTTGCATCGGCTCTCGTATAGCTCCTATATTTTTTAGATTCTGAATCTATATAATGTAAATGACTTCTGAACAGTCAGATCGGACGTTGATTATCTTTTCAAGATATTTATGAGATATATTTAGACTGTACAGATTCAGAACTGTTTCGGAACCTATATCATAAACCTGTATCATAAACCAACATAATTCGGCTTTTAGGTTCTTCGTAACAGTCATTTCGAACAAAAGTTCTTCGCAACAGCTTCTACACCAGAACTTGTATATAACGGTTTGAAACAATTACTTTCGGAACCTACCCAAGCCCTGGGACAGATTTTTGCTCGGTCCTGGCCCGCTTGCCAATTCGGAAACACCAAAACGGAAACTACGTATCTCCCAACGACTTAACGAAAATTTGATAACAGCCGATTCTAGGCGATCTCGTTGCCTGTTCATGGAAAACATCGCCCAGGGCAAGCAGGACGCAGGACGAAGAGCGAGAGGACGTTTTACGTTTCTAACTTGTTTCGTATTTTTGTTTTTTTTTCCCCGTTGCGAATAAACGACCGCGCTTTAACCGAACAGATAAAAAGGTACGTAATCGGAGAGCGGAGTGTAGTAACATTAACAGCTTAACAACTATGGGGATAGGAGAAGTGTATAAACAATATAACATGAATCACAATTATGCAATAATTATTAATCGCTCATCTTGGCGCGTAATTAGATAAAATTAATAATAATTTGATCTAACAACTGGTTATTCGTAGATTGCACTCTGACGAACCCGGACCCTTTCCGTTTTCCCGTTCGGTTCTTACTTTCTCCACTTTCTTTTTCCTACCTTGAAACATCCCTCAGGGTCCGCTCGAAAACGGAAGCGGCCAGGGTTTCTTCGGATTTCGAGCGAATGTGCGACGATCGCCTCTCCCTCCCTCATTACCCCCCGAGCTATCTCGTCGCATTACAGTCTTCTAACAATACAAATCCGCTGTAGTAACCGTGCACACCCAACACACTATTCCGTTCCGTATCGATTAAAACGTTACGAAAACAGTTCTTTTGATTGAGCTCCATCTTCCTCGATAGCAGCCTCCCTGCCGGTAGCCTTTGCGCGCCAGATCAAAGGTTCATGCACATCTGCGTGTCTTTTTTTTGTTCACGTATCCTACTTTGTATTCGCCATCCTATGATAATGCCCTCGTAGTAGGCAGGACTCGGCCAATCAGACCTGACCGAATCCTATGACTGGTTTCCTCTTTAAGAACTTAACTAGGCCGTAGTCGTCGGCTAAATTGTGACCGTAACTTCCGCAGCGTCATTTTGGCATGTTTAAACGTCGTCCACTTCGATCCTCACCCGTTCGAATATTTGTCCAATGCGGTCTCGCGACCACACGATCCTTTTAATAATCCCACGTTTCTTCTGGCTCGTGTTTCACTACGTTCTCCTTGGGACTTTCTTCCGTAGACGGTTGCGTTTGCTGCGTTGAGGGCGGCCTCGGCGACGTCACTGGACTGTTCTGTCCAGATTTCGGACTAGGTAGAGGGCTGTCTCGGTCCTGGCCGTTGTTTCCGGAGACGGACGATACGTCGCTTTGCGCGTCCTCCTCGTATCTGTCCTGCACTGGGGTCGGTTCCACCCTGATCGTCTCCTCCGCTTCTCTCTTCACACCGTAATCGTCCGTTTGCATCACGCAAACGCCGTTTATGATCACCTCGTCGCCCGTTCTAACCGGTTCCTGCCACTCTGGGTTCACCCACTGCGGAGCGGCAGGTTTCCGTCTATTCGATCTGACCGTGGCTGGCGCGGTGGGTGTCTCCGCCGGTTCCCTCTTTATACTACCCGCCGAACCCTCGGAGTCTTCGCTGCCAAGGTTGCTCATCGCGTCCTCCGCGTCCTCGTCCTCGAACTCCTGGTTCGGTTCCCTCTTCAGCGAGCTCATCGACAAATCTAGACCGGAACACTGCTCCTTCAGCGCGTTCCCCACCAACGCGGCCAAGTTGGGGTTGAAATACGGCGAGTAGGGCAGAGGCACGTTGCCCAAGCCCAGTCTCTCTTTTTGGATCTCCAGTAGTCTTTGGTTCAACAGCAATCTAAACTGAACTGGGTCGAACGGCTGGCCGGGTTCCCTTGGAGATTGGGGTTCTGGCTGGCCGTGCGGCGTTTGCTGCTTCAGTCTCATCCGATGATTGTGAAACCAGTTGGTTATCGTTCTCGAGGATAGCGCCAATTCGCTGGCGAGAAACTCGATGGTGGCCACGTTAGGGTACGGATCGAGAGCGAAAGCGAGCCTCAAGGCTTCCTTCTGCTCCTCGGAGAAGAGGACTCGTTGTTTCTTGGCGGATGCTGGCCCCGGACCGGGCGAAGCCGCGTGATAGAACTCCGCCGTGTCGTTGCTCGACGTGTCCGAGCTGTTATCGTGGCCTGGTCCGCTGCTGCGTCGTCTTTTGTTCGCCTCTCTTCGTTCGTTCTTCAGCGCCTGTAACCGATCGACGTTGTGCGCGTCCGACAGCCACAGTTGCATCCTGATGAACGGCTCCCGACCCTTTATACTGAGCATGTGCCACGGTTTCGGTTTGCTCAGCAGCTCGCTGACGGATCCTTGCGACAAACCGAGCACAGCCTCGCCGAAGATCTTCTGTCCGATGTTGTTCGCCAGCAGCGCCTCTTTGATCTTCGTCGTGATTGTTTGGGTGTCGAGGTCCTGCGTCAGCGCGGCCATTTCGTACACGCTGGGCGAGATATGCGGATGAAGACCGCGAAGAGGCGACGGAGTCATCTGATGGTGCGGCGAGTGAAGATTCATTTGTTGCTGCTGTTGTTGCTGTTGCTTCTTTTGCAGCTCTTGCATACTGAGCTGCGTGTGAGGATGAAGGGGACCCGGGGGTGTTAACATCATCGGTGGAGGCGGTTGAGGGTGCTGAGGAAGCTGAGGACTCTGCTGAGGCGGTCCGAGTTGTATTTGGTTTTCTTGCTGATGTTGGGCGACCGCCTGAGCGGCTGCCTGCGCTGCGGCCTGTGCCTTCGCGGCGTTCTGAAGCTGTTCCTGAACCAGTTTCGTTGGAGGCATAGGCTTCATCGGCGTTCCACAAGCTGTAAAAGATAAAGGACACAAATATTGAAGAGTCGTTGCGCACTAACCGCGTCTAATAGTCCGAAAGCTCTGTCGAACGGATGTCAGAATGTTGTTTCGTTCGATTCTGCCAACAAACACGTTCGCTCGTCTTATTGGGTTGATGCAGTAAATTCGTGCTGTTCCTTTTTATCGAATGACAATTAATTGGAACTAAGAAATACAGAAAATTTCATTAATTATACAGTGGTGGATATACAGGGTGTTCGGCCACATTTGAGAAAAATTTTAATGGGAGATTCTAGAGGCCGAAATAAGACGAACATGAAGAATACCAATTCGTTGATTGAGGTTTCATTAAAAAGTTATTAACAAAATTATTAATAAAATTTGTCCACCTACACGAATTTTTTTCTGGAAAGTGCGTAGGATTTTGGGGGTATATCTATTCGCCAAAAATGATTGTAATTGACCCCCATAACTGAAAATAACCTTTTCAGGACGATTTGAAATTTTTTTTCGTCGAATTTAGGCACCTACCCCCTCCTATCGATGTTTCTTAAAAATTCGGTTTTCATGTCTAACTAATTTGGTTGATGCTGTCCGGAAAAGTTGTCTAATACTTCTTGGAGGTATCCATGAGCTCTACTTCCATGCTAAATTTCAATAAGATACTTTCACTATTGTAGGAGTTATGGACGTTTGAAGATTGGACCATTTTTATGAGGTTTTTCTCACTTTACGGTATTAAGGAACAACTTTTCCAATATTCTTTGAATTTCTAAATGTTCTTCGCCAAAATACGCGTTGTCTGCATTTTGAAACATTAAAATCCTCCAATCCGTTCAGAAGTTATGATATTTTAAACATACGCATGAAATTTCAGGGCAACATTTCTGGCCACACATTATATTTTCGGTAATGAATTTTTTTCTCGAGAGTGCCTAGGATTTCAAGGAAATGTGTATTCACCAAAAAATGATTGTAATTGACCCCCGCGCCTAAAAATAATTTTTTCAGAACAATTTGGAATTTTTTAATTTTAATAAGTTTTTAAGAAAGCGTCAATCAATAATTTGGTATTCTTGATTTTCGTCTTAGTTTAGCCTCTAGAATCCATCATTCAAATTTTTCCCAGAGGTGGCTGAACACCCTGTATATACTCATGGACAAAATTATAACACATCCATTGGATTCTATCGTATGTATAACAGTACTTAATACTAGAATTACCGACAATTATGGTGTATTTATTTGTACCAAAGAAATTAAAACGATGTATATTTGGAGAAATCCAGTAAAGTAAATTTGTAACAACTTTTATTAGAATTTACGAATAGGTCATTTTGACTAGTTTGATAGTTCTAGTGTTAATAAAGAAGAATATTCCCAGAATACAATTATAAATAAACAGAAAATATGAAAACATTTCCCAGAAATAGAATATTTCGAAATTATAATAGCACAAAATTATAGGACATTTCCGTTGCAAAGAGTCATTCTGTGAAGCTACATTTGCGTGTATTGTCTTATAAATCTTTTGATGGAATGACTCTGTCAGTATAAATCAAAAAACGAATAAAACTAAAAGCATGTCACGTAGTAAATTATTAAACGAGAATGAAGAAACAGACATTTTGTGATCAGAAGCAAAAATAGATTATTTAGAATAGATTACATTTAAAATGAGTACAAGTCTGTATGACATATATTAAATTTTGTATGTAATTCTAAGAGAAGAGAACGAAAAGACCAACAACTTTTTTTTTTCAAGAAACATAAGAGCAGTTTAAACTTACGAAAATATTATTTAGATATAAATTATCTTGTTTTACACGTAATATTGTTTAGTAGAAGTACCATGTTAAGACCTTATAATTTTAAGCGTAACATTAGATTCTTTAGTTAGTAATATTGTATAGGAGGGACATCAATAGATTTCCATTGCATTTTTTTAATGGCATACCTATACAATTATCTCGAAAACTAAGTTGACATACCTTCCGAGAATACATTTATTGCGAAGGAAACAATGTGATCAATATTCTGGCGAGGTCAGTGTTATTTGCCAACAATAATTTTAGAATTGATTAGTTGATTGCAAACAAGTGTAAAAATAAGACTACTTTCTCATTTGTGAGAGAAGATACTACTAGTGAAACGGAATGTAAGTTAACAATCAATAATGATTGACTAATAATCATATGTTTAAAAACAATATCAAGTACGAATATTCCACTTTACTCGTGAAACAATTTTCTTAGAAAAACTTTAAAAACTATATAATTACAGTCCAGAAAGTGCCAAAATATCGCGAACTTACTCCCGCGGATAGAATGCCACATGGATGAAGGGAAATACCTTACGATAAATTGCTATCAGTGTGGAAATTGTCAACAAGATTGTACAACGAATTATGAATATAGGCAATGCAGAAAATTTGACAAGATCGATATCAAGTTTTATTGAGAGAAAAGTCGTTGCAAACCTTTTTATTTCAGTAGAACAAATAAAGGAAGAATTGTCTTTGCTGATTCAAGAAACGCAAATTCGAAAGAGAATTCATGATAACGATCTTCATGGTTGAGTGATAAGAAAGAGACCTTATATTAATAAAGTAAATGCTCGCAAACGTTCATTAAAAGATATTATTTATCGATGAATCCAAATTTAAACATTGCAACAATCGCAAATCTGTAAAGAAAGTGGGGTTGTTTGTTGGCTTTTGAGATTGGTAATTTGCATTTTATCGATGACAATCGATAGAACAGTGTCATTTGTGCTACAAGACGACGATCCTAATTTTATGAAAAAAAACAAAATTGAATTTACTCCCGAGCTAATATCTCAATCTCATAAAACACTTATGATACCACTTGGACTGAAATACTCCAAAAGCTGCAGAATACATAATAAAAACACGTTTCGAAAAGCAATTCTATTTCAAAATTACGGAAATTAAAGGATATCAAACATAATATTAAAAATAAATCTGTAGTTTCATAAAAGTTATACAGATATTTTCTGTTTTTCTCTGTTTACTCATTTTACAATATGGCTTCGGATTGATATTACGAAGTTTTGCTATTTGAATAATATTTTGCGTCGCTTTAAAGTAATAAAAATTGATTTTACAATTGTGTCAACTTATATTCCGAGACTACTATATATTTAACAGATGCAGACCTTTGATGAATATTTTCAAAGACGGCATGCCGAATCATATTTCTCAACTAATAACAAATAAAGGAGCTCCTACAGAGTGCTAACGAACCAAAGTACATATATCTCAATTATATTACTTTTATTATTGTATTTTACTGCTATAGTTATGCCACAATATCATGTTTTAAATTATATCTTCGCGCACACATGAATTCGACAGAACGTTTCTAAAGTCTGTACGATTGTTTTTTTACATTCCTACCGAAAAGTCCAAAATATTGAAAAATGTGGGTGATGCTATAGTTGTGGAACGTAACCGTATCGCATTATAAAGACGATTGCTAATGATTTTAAATGCGGATTTAGGTATGCCGGTAGAGTAAGGATCGCGGATTTACGATTCAGCGAGAAGAGGGGAGAAGTGACGTGGCACGAAGTTACTCATCAACCCAATAAATGGCAGTCGAACGATTCGTTCTTTCGATCGTAGCACCATTCGGCCGATAGTTTCGAGCTCCCAAACTACGTTTTTAGTAAAATAACAAAACATCTATATTGACCTGAGTTAAACTTACGAGGCAGGCCACCGTAGCCGCCGGTCCTCATCAGTTTTTCCGGTGCGATCTTGTACTGGCTGGCTACCAGCTTGTGCACGGCGTTGTCGTCCTCGAGGAACATCTTCATCCTGATGAATGGCTCGCGGCCTTTTTGCGTGAGCATGTGCCAGGGCTTTGGCCGCGCCAGGAGGTCGGAGACGGATCCCTGAGAAAGACCCAGCACGGATTCACCGAAAAGACGTTGGGAAATGGAATACTGAGACAATTGTTCCTTCACCTGGGAAGATGAATCTCGTATGAACATCATCGTTAAGGCAAACTACTTAAAAGGGCGATCGAAACGTGTTCACTTACTCTCTTCACAATGTCCTCGGTGTTTAGGTTATTGTACATGTCGAATTGTTGCTGCGTGATGGGAGGAAGTACTGCTTTCAGGGGTCTCTGGTTGGCCGAATGATGCGTAGGCGTGGACGGTTGACTGATCAGACTATTCGTGATAGAAGCCATCCTTTGGAGGGGACTGGCTGCCGCCGCACCAGAGAATTCCTCGCTGGGCGTCATCGCCGGCGGAAGAATCGAGTTTCCAAGCGGCGAACTCGCGCTGGATCCGCTCGGGGTGGATTGCGGCGCGGTGGTTTCCTGTTTCGGCCTGACCAACGAGAAAGCGCTACCGGCGTGTCTCATCGCTTCCTCCATTTTTTCTTTCTCCTCCTCGGATACACCGTTTATCATTTTGTTCCTAGGATCCACTTTTCCTAGGCTCAAGTCCTGAACGCCACCACCGTTCGTGGCCAAATGGTGTTGCTGAAGAGCCTGCTGCTGAAGCGCCAGGAGACCAGGGAGACCCGGCAATCCTGGAAGTCCAGTCAACGTAGGGTTCTGACCAGGTGTCGTGTTTAGCTTCTGCAGCTCGCGATGGTACGCGTCCAGCGCCAATCGAATGTCGTCCTGCGTACGCTCCATGCCTTGCAGGCCGCCTTGAGCACCACTGAAAAAGTGCGGAAACATCGCACTACAATCAATCGAGGTCGCGTGCTGTCCTCAATAATGAAGGGTATGTGTACGTAATATTCGTCTGGACGGGTCACAGTGTCACGAATCTATGGGCGTTTCGAACAAAATTCATAACTAAAATAACACAAATGTGCTTTTTAGTACTTTAAACTCGAGACAAAATTGATAAACACTTAACATACGGAATTTAGACAAATCATTAGTATTGTAAAAATGTTGCTCTGCAGCTCAAAACGTTTTATAATACGTAATTTTTAACAATAAATTGTAAAATTCAGTAAAAATTGTGTTTATTAGTATTTTAAGACATAATATGAATTTTAAACGTCAATTTTTGTTTACTTTTGTCCATTGTTCGTCACACTGTGCGGGTGTGCAATTCGAACTGTGGATTACGTATTTACATCTGACATTTACGTGTTAACACCTTGACAACCGCCTTTCGTGAACTTCACGCAACAACACGAATCAACTGAAAGTTGTCTATAACTCCCTGCAATATTGAAATTAATAACGTGACATTTTTGAATAATAAAGTTTCTTGAAATATCACGTTACAACAGTTGTTCCTGTTCGTTACAGGTTTTGCACTCCATATTAATCCTACAAATCATATACATCTTTTTGCAAATTAAGTTTTTCAACAAAATTTTCATGCCTTTTACTGTATTCTTGATCGATGAAAAGACTAAAAAGGACCACAGAGGACCAGTAGCATAAGTAATCTTAAATAGGCATACTTTTTGAAACTTAAATCGTGTCTAGTGCCTGTTAACGTAGTTTTTGATTCTAGGTAGCATACAATTAATACTTTACCGACCGGTACCAATTGACCCTAAGCTATGCACTTATTCTTGTATTTATAAGAATGTTAAATCAAACTTTGTAAAAGTGCTTACTATATTGTCCTCTTTCTATCATTATAGGGTAATTAAATCTAATAATATTTTTTTATTTTCATGAGAACCGGTTAATAAGTTATCGGTCGGTAAAGTGTTAAGGGGTAAAAAGTCGATTAATAAGCTACCGGTCGGTAAAGTGTTAACATAATAAACGTTTGTAACGTGGAAAATCTGTCCGATCGGTTGTCAATGTGTTAAATAATGAAACAAATATAGCGGCACATTAATTTTAGCCGCGTACGTCATCTTTTTAGGTATAGTTCGCGCGCGGCCGGTCTATGCCATGACTCACAAGATCTATGGGATGCGCTACCGATTTAGTAGGATACTTTGTAAATGTGTGCTAGAGACATTCGACCAACACTACACCCAACAAACAATCGTCAAACTAACGCGGGTAAGGCTTGAAACGATTCCAATAATAATTATTTCAAACCCTTATATAAAAGTTCGAAGTGTTATACAGAATTTCTGTAACTGTTATTTTTTAGGTTCTATATTGGTTCTGCAGCGATTTTTAATCTATATATTGTAGTATAAATATTTATTGTTTGCTGTTTTCAAATCAGTTCGGATTTCGTTAGTCTTTTAATTATTTATCTTTTCTTAATTCTTTTTCTAAGTTCTTTTTCAATTATTTTGTAACTTGATAAATTTTCGTTAAAACAAAGATTCGTTTATGCGATTCGAAGCATGGGAAAATTAACTTAAGAACACTGACAAACTTGATCCTTTATCTTAAATATATTTTCATTTTTTTTAATTTTACAATACTAATACGTAACTAAAATTTTATATTTTGTCAAACGTTTTCTCTTGTCTTTGCATTAATAGATTATCATTTATAATATCTGCTTTTATGGACGAATACCGGATAAAGTGAATTTAAGTGCTGAAAAGTGCTTAGACATTTTACTTTTCTTTGTTTTCTAATAGTGTAAACTATTTATTCAACTTTTAAATCTGGGGTTTTAAAAATATTCTTCTATTTCATTTTCTAGGATTGGATGTGTTTCATTATTCTTTGATGCAGTACGAGCCCATGTATTTTCTGCATTTCGAAGTAATTTCTAAAAATCATTTTCTTCTTCAATTTTATTAATAGAATCTTCATTTTGGGTGTTGCTTTCTATTATAAGTTTGTAAAAGGTCCTTCTTAATGTTCTTTATATTTATTCGATACACATTATACAGGATGAACCACGTAACTTGATTAAATTAATTTATTCTACTACTAGTGGACCATTCAAGAAGTTTTTTGTCAAATATAACATGCTTCAGGGAGAGCTTTCAACTGATTATACTAAATTTTTTGCAAACTGTATTTTTTAGAGTTAGATGAAAAAAAGATATTTTTTATGATGTTTATCGATATTTGTCTTAATATCTACTAAAAGATAGGTGTACAAAAAATATAGGTTTTTCTACAAAAAACTAGAAGTGACCTTAAAAAATTTGGAAAAAAAACAGTTACAAAACCTGTATAGAACCTGAAACATAATGGTTATAGAACCCATATGAAACCTGATGCAAGAACCTTACCGCATTGACTGCCACTTTATCCATATACGGATGACTTGAATTTTCATTAAGTAATTTTCTAAATAAATCTAGATAGGACTCTTGAATATTAGAGAGTCTATAAAAATGAGTTCTATGACAAATTGTGGGTAGGCTAGTTTCCAGTTGTCTAAAAACAAAGTATCGCTTTCACATAGAATTTTAGGGCTTTAGTCTGACAGTCGATGTATCTGAACCGGATCTTAAAATTTAGGTTCGTTATAACAGTTACTCAGAATAAAAGTTCTTAGTAATTGTTTGAAGAATTTATGCTATAACTAAACTGCGGATGTTTATGTCAATAAAATATGTCAAAATATGTAAGTGACATATGTCAAATATGTATCAATAATATGCCGAAATATACAGGAATATGCAAAATATATTCAAAATATGTTCAAATAATTTTCTTACTTAAATATAATAATAATAAATTATAATTTAAATTACAATGTGTTACGAGTATTTTTTCAATATTGTTAAGAGTTAGTTGATGACGTTTATCGTTTACAGTCAATTTATAAGCTGAGAACGAACGTTCCACATTACAAGATGTAATTGGGGCATATTTGAATTTGCTGAAGTAGCATGCTTTAATTGTTTTAGGCTTTCTAATAATCTGACCATATAAAATTCGTTTTCGTAGAACCTATCTGCCAAGAATACTTCATAATTACTGATTAATACTATTCGTAGCATCTATGAACTGTTATATAGATAAACACGAGATATATAAATAGCTATGTTGTGATTTCTGCCATGGCTATCGTATACAAACGATGAATTAATAGACTGAAATAGATGTTCGGAAGTCCATATAAGCATTCATTTTATGAAAAGTGTGGCCCGATAGTAATATAAAATGTAATTTATTCAGGTCTAATAAACCATACAGCGAAATTAGAAAGGTAGCGAAGAAGAGATGTTTTATAAAACTGTTTCGATAGTAATACACAAGTACGGGAATTCCCCGGGACCGACTGGCGAGCTTTACTTGGGGGTTCCCCTACGGTCGACCAGTACTCCAACGTAAAGCGCCATCGTGCGGCCATAAGCATGCCACAAAAAGAAATGCAATAAACATATATGACATATGCAGTATGTTTCGATATATGTTTTTATACAAAATATGCAAAACAAAAAATATATTTTTAAGGGCCTCTAGTGATGAAACAAGCTTCTATTTAGGTTTCACACTTTTATCTATTTCCTAGAAACATATGCATTTGCATAAACATCCACAGTCTAACTATAACAGTTTTCAAGCCCTGAACGCAGCTATAGTTATCTTGTTTTCGCGCGTAGATGAAACATTGTTCGTTCGAGCCTTACCTAGAAGAGAATTCTCGCGGACCACGGAGATCGTCGACTCTTCTTCCCATCAGTTTCGCCAATTCCTCTTGATAAATCCTTACTACCTTTTCCTGCGGAATGTCATCGTTTTCGTATTTCTTCAGTCTCCTGTTCTGACTGTCGAGCCTGTCCTTGTTAAACGGACTCGGACAACCGATTCTGCTCGGACTTTTGCTGTCTGCGTCGTTCGAGATCTCGTGCTCGCCTCTCATCTGTAGATGGCCAGATTCCGATAGGATATGCGCCAACCTTTCGTCACTCATTTCCGGCGGACCACCTTCCTGTGGTCCGCGCGCGAACGCTGGCATTCCCTGCTCCTTGCCTGAAACATACTCTACGGGTGAGGCACAACTTGTGGTGCGTTCTTACTCGGTTTGGTCTTAAAGGTATGTGTAGAAAATATAATTAGAAATAAGGTTATACGCATTGATCTACCGAAATCCACTAATGTGATGGTTTTCCTGTCGTCTGTTCGACATCATAGATTCTTTAAGATCGCGTCTTTTTCTTCTTCTAACTAATTTCGTTTCTTTAAAGGGGTGCTCTAGGTTCAAGATTCTATGCATTGATCTACCGAAATCCACAAATGTGATGGTCTTCCTGTCGTCTGTTCGATATCATAGATTCTCTAAGATCGCGTCGTTTTCTTCTTCTAACTAATCTCGTTTCTTTAAAGGGGTGCTCTAGGTTCAAGATTATATGCATTGATCTACCGAAATCCACTAATGTGATGGTTTTCCTGTCGTCCGTTCGACACCATAGATTCTCTATGATCGCGTCGATTTCTTTTTCTAACTAATCTCGTTTCTTTAAGGGGTTGTTCTAGTTTAGAATCTTCAAAAAACTCCTTTTTTATTTAATTTTTTGAAAGTACATGCCCTAGAAAATATTTCTAGCGATAGATATTGCCAGATTCACACAATTATATTCTCGAAACTACATTCTTCCAAATAATTTCCATGATATCTCGAGTTCTAGAGGATCGATTGCCATTAAATTTGGAGAAAATCTTTAGCACAGAATTTTTGAAATTCGATGTTTTTACCATTTGTTTTTTTTTATACGTAAAAGATGAAATAGAAAATGGATAAACTAGCTGTAAAGTGCTAGCGGAATTTTATTTTTCAATATTTTTTTTGCGATTTCAGTACCGACCATAACCACATTTATGCTGAACAAAATGGTTTCCGGTTCGTTCATTTTAGATCAGCAGAACGATCGGAATCGTGGAAACCATGAAGCCATGTTCAACAAAAGGGTCTTCATTGTATCTTCGGTAAATTTAAATACTTTTACAAAATATTTTCTAAAAAGATTGTGTGCACTTGTTATATGTATATAGGTCAAAAGCCTATATTTTTTTTTACATTCCAAAGAACACATAAAAAACTAACGTCTAGACTAGAATTCTTTATAAAGAGTGTATTCTGGTCTCGAAGTTTGAAACAAATTGATCTTTTCTTCTTCATTCTCTTAAACTACGCGTCTTTGAAAACACGTCTGCAGTAGGATTCGTTTGAATTCGTAAAATTAACGGCGTTGCAGCTGTTCGAAGAGTACAACTTGTATCACAAAATTTTAAACACGTTTTTCTCAAAAGTTCATTTTTGGAATTGCTGTACACGATATTTCAAGTTCTAAATGACAGAATAGCTTGAAAATATAAAATCTTCAGCAGACATATTGCTATCGCACGAAAGCACCGATTATTTAAAAATTTTGGGTTTTTCATATTTTTTTAGTATGCTATATTCCAAGAAGATTGAAAAAATCACCAACGTGTCAAAATTTTTTCAATTATTTGAATGTTTTATTTATCGTGATTCTCATAGTTTTGTTTTTTTATTTAAAATTAATAGAACGCTTATATTTTTTATACGTTCAGCCACACGTAACTCTGTAATAAATATCATGACTTAGATTTTGATATACTCGAGCAACCTTAATTTTTTAGCCCCAATATTGTACATTATTCTTTAATCTGATTCTTGTAACGTGTGCAATAGTATTCTAGTTCTTCGAACGTTCAATCTTTCCCACATCCACATCGATGAATTGAAAATTCTCAGAGCCTGAAACTCCAGACCCAAATTCTAAAAACTGTCCCTTAGAAATATTGATCTACGAACAGACGCTCAACCGTCGTTAATTCAGTTTCGAAAGTCTATATCGCTGAATTTCCTTGATTTCTCTCGATGAGGGAATACGAAACGTCGCCACACGTGTGCAGCCCCAGAAATGTCAGAAACTTCAACGCGTGAAAATTCAAATTTCGCCACGATCAATGTCGTTCAATTCCAACCATTAGCGACTAATGTTCGATAAGGAAGAAGCAGTCCCACGTATCTAATCAGAACCGAGGGCTGATTTCATGTTTGATCGAACGTGGGAGCAATTAATACAACGGAAAATTAATAATACGTGCTGGAAAACCCGAACGTAGAGTACACCCCGACAACGATAATTAAAATAGCCTTTTCTGGGACCTCACACTTGCGGCCATCCCCTAGCACATAGGCAACAGCGACGTTCTACGTGTTTCCCGTCTAATTGACTAATCAACCGTAAGATTCAGACGAATGAGCCATCGATCATGTCTTTGATTGCTTCCCTACCCTTGCTTTATCATTCCAGTGAATCTCCTAGCCACGGATCGACGCCTTTTCCACCCAGCAAGCTACACGTAACGTTTGTCAAATAGAAATTCGATCGTTTAAAAGTTTTCATCTACGTTCAAACGATTATTCGCGATACGAGTCCTAATAACGATCACACAAAGTGATAAAACTTTGGTAAAACTGATAAAAGGAGTTAACAATGTGCCCCACTTAACACCGTTTCCACTTTCCAGTCATTTTGAAATTTCAAAAAAAACTGTAGAACCTCCGTTATGTGGATTAATTGAGGGACATAAGTGTTTACAGAATTTTCTCATAATAGAACAATACTCAGCACTTTATATGCAATACTTAAGACAAAATGAAATAAAATAAATATATTTATTTATAAATAATTTCACACATACACTACAAGATTAAAAAGAAACAATATTGTTCGATTCCCCTTTTTTTTGTTAACGAAATAAAAGAAACGATACCTTTCTCAAATTTTGTTAGCAGCTAAATGACATATCTTTCTTAGTACAATTAATTCTTTTTGAACTTCAAACCATTAAACCTTCTTTCCAAAGCATGGTATATCTTCGTTTCTACTGTCATTGGTTTCATCTTGGGTATTATTTAAAATGTTTTGCAGAATAATTTGGTTGAAAGAAATGGTAAGGTACCATTTCAGTTATGCTAGGCTTATTACAATTAAAATTTTAAATTTTAATTACCTTTCAACTTTTTTTGTTTTGTACAAATCTCTATAATAAGCAACATTTAAATTCGCTTCCATCATTAGAGTTTTTCACTTTTTACATTTATAAATAGTATTGAATTTATAAATAGTTTTGAATACCACATTTCTTATATAGATAACAGATGAAGTTTTTTTAATTATGCCACATTTTTGTTTGACAAAAAATTATATAAAATTGCAACGAAGATGGCAAAATTAATTTTACTTAAATTATTAGAAAACGTCAATAAAGATTAAACGTTGACCATGGACGATAAAAATTAATTGAATCAGAAAAGAAGGAAGGTCAACAACTAATAGATTGTACGAGAGATTGCAAATAGTTGAATTGTATTTATATGTTTTCACAAAAGTTAACACGTTAACTGTCTGTAAAGACGAGGAAGAAGTCGATGCTCGTTTATCTATCGTCAGTCATACGCATTAGATGTGCCTGATTAAACAATTACCGAAGGATGTTCACCTTCGTAAACGTCACTGTTCGTCTCTTTTCGCTTCGACATCGAAATGCTTTAATGGACGATCCAACACAGCTTGTCGTAGTTTGAGAACCCTATTTTCCATACAGAACTACTTAATGTCGTTTCCCAAAGTAGACATTTTTGTCCGACGTTTGCGCAATAAAGAAAACAATTTGGAAAACCAAAAGCCTCGTTTCGTTTCTGTGACCTTCGCTTGAACTGTAATTGTAATTTACGATTACAAATAACGATTCTTGCTTGCTCCGTTAACCTTAATCCCAACCAAATGAAATTTGTCTAAAAATTTATTTTCTTAAGTCAAAAGATGTATCCTGTGTAAGAATACTTAAACAAAAAATAACATAAAATACATTCAACGCTAAAAGTATCAATTGATCGTCTCTTGCTAGCTCGCTAATTACGAATAAAATCACAGAAAACGATAAAACGGCATCGTATTACTATATTTTTCAGTTGTCCACAAAGTGAATTTGATACGTGAAAGGGTGAATATGATCCGTCAAGGGGTTAATTTGGAGTGAAAAACCTAACCTCGGGTTGCATACAAGATTCGAGTATCTGTAAAGCCTGTAAGTAAATTTTATAATCAAATTACAAGTGTATTATCTTCGAGAACTTAGCGTTACTCAAACTCGATGCTCAATCGAAAGTCACGCCCTGGTGTGATTAGGGATACGTTCCGTTGAACACGTGTGCTCCAATTGAAGATGTTTTTTAATTGTTTTCACCAATTTGAACGGAATCCAAAATGTGTTTCGCTTTATCTTTTATCGCTTGAAGTTCGTCGGATGTTGATTTTTCGTGTAGCAAAGGCATTTTATGGCGTCAGGCGTGAAATGAAACGAGAAAAGACTAATTGGTCATTAAGATCGGAATGTGGAGAACGATCCAAGAAACTGATGTTGTAGTTACTGCAATATTGGTCGACGAGAAATGTTTCAAGAAATCGACAACGTTGTGGGTGGAAACGGAACGTTACGAGGACAATGACGACAGTCGAGGTTCGTTTCGTGGATGTGGAGGACCGGACAGGGCGTGTACACATGCAGCGTGTGCGTGTGTGTAACCGTGACGCTTGAATTCGTGCCAGCAGCATCGACTTATGCCAACCTTCTCTGTATCCATACGGCATTTTCGACCACCTTTTAACGAAACCATCGGTTGGTTACGAAGCTGATGCGATCAACAATTCTCCCTGACAAAACCAACCGAACAATATAATTACGAAGTTCGAATCGTTTCGAACGGTGTTTAAATTTCATTTAAATCCGAGCGTTCGAAAAAGCCTCAGCAACCTCGATATATCAAAGACTCAAATGCTTTGAAGCTCTCGAAGCACTGAAATTGTTTAAGAAACTCGATAAAACCAATCTCTTTGAAAAGGTTGAAGAACTTAATAATTTTTTATAACATTTACAGCGGTACAGAAGTTTTGTTCGTTCCTCGTTCACTCATGAAGTATTAAAGTCCTTTTTAAATGCAGAAAGTC